AAGACACCAAATTTAAAAGAAAATGAACCAAAAAGAAGGTGGGCTGGTCAAACAGCAATAACAAAGGATCATAATAACAACTGCTAACATTTTTAATAGCATCTTAAAGTTTGAAAAGCCATATATATGTCTGTCTATCTCTGTTTATTTTGCTATCATCTCATTTAATCCTTATGACAACTTTGATGTAGTCGCCAATAAAATTACCATTTTATAGATAAGAAAATTGAGGCTGATAAAGGTTAAGTGACTTGTCCAGTCAAACAACTGGTAAGTGTTCGAGGCAAGATTCAAGCTCAGGTTTTCCTGACTCTATGTCCAACATGCTATCCAACTAATACATGGATAATTTATGTTCTGCAGTGGTAACCATGTAAAGTTAAGAGGCCCATAAGGAAGGCTCCTCACACAGATATTGGATATAGAAAAGAACTGAACACAATGAAGGCATAAATGGAATTGTGGTCCATACCAATGGAAGAAGTGCTCAAATCCATTAGATGACAGATCCAGTAAAGTATCATAGTTATTTAATTCAATTTAATAAGCATTATTAAGCATTTATTACAGATAAGGCATCGAACTAGGAATACAAAGACAAAAATTAAAAATAGTCCCTCCCCTCAAGGAGTTTATATTCTACTGAGGCATATAATATGTAAACAGATTTTTTTTTTAAAAAGATAAGTTGAGTAAAGAGGGATCAAAAAATATTTTCTGTAGGAGGTGGTCCTTGAACTCATCCTTGAAAGAAACTCCAGATTGTAAAAGGCAGAGGTGAGGAAAGAGGGCATAGTAGGCAGGGGAATGGTCTGGGTAAAGGTACAGTGCCAGGTGTACAGTAAACCTGGGTTTAGAGAACATTGTCAGTTCACCTGGAACACAGAGTGTATGATAGTAAAACCCTTCTGGCAAGATCAGACAGAGCCATATAATGAAGTACATCAAGGGCTAAGTTGATAGATTCATGTTGCCTAGAGACAATAAGGAGACCACTGAAGACTTTTGAGCAGGGGAGCAGCATGGTGAGATCTGCACTTTAGCAAAATTATTTTGGCAGTCGTGTGGAGGACTGGTGGGAGACCTGAGAGATTTGTAATAATTAGGAGGCTATTGTGATAGGCTAGGTGAGAGGTGGAAGGCCTGAACTAGGTGCTGGTGGTGAGAAGGGGACAGATGCAAGAGAAAGGTGTCATGGAGGAAGAATGGACAACACTCGGTAACTGATTGTGTATAGGGTGTGTGTGGAAGGAGCAAGCGGAGGGAGAGTGATGGCGACTGAAGTTCTGAATCGTGAAGTCGAGGAAAGTTTGGAGGTGTGGGAAGAAAATGACTGATGGACAAGTGGAGTCTAAAATACTTGATGTTCAGGAGGTACCTGGTGATATGGGACTAGAGGGATTAGCTACCTGTATATGAGAAGAAAGACTCTATCATCTTTCATCTTTAGATGTGCCTTAGCGCATTTCAGAGTTAGGGCCTGGACCTGTGATTTCACTGGCACACGGAAGTGCCAACGAGAAAGTGACTTCTAACGCAAGCTGGCACCCTTGTTGTGCCCTCTAGCCTCAGACAGCAGCCTCCAGCAGGTATCAGCAAATCACAGCCCAAGGGCTACCTCCACTCAGGCCACTCCCTGTATGGCCTATGAGGGAAGAACAGCTTTTCTTAGCTTGTGATACAGGATGAAGCTCCACTCAAGCAGCTGTAGTGTATGTACTGACACCTAGCCTAGAGCACTGAGAAGCTAGTGACTTGCCCAGGGTCACACAGCCAGGATGTACAGAGGCAGTGCCTGAAGACAAGTCTTTGGGTTTTAAAGCCAGCTCTCTTCACTAGGCTGTACTGCACACAGCAAACACTTGATAAATGCCTGTTCAGGGCTGAATGACATCAAAGACCCAAACTTCTCAAGGGATCCTAAAATTCCACAAAGAGATGGGACCTCACAAACTAACCTACCCCATACTTCAATCAGGAATCACCTCCACGGCAAGGGGAGAAATAGGACATAGCATATAGAGTACCGGATTTGGAGTTAAAAAGAGATGGGTTTGAATCCTGACTCACTCACTCACTGAACAGAGTTCCCAACTTGGGTTCAGGACGTCTGGGTTCAAAACCCATTTCAGACACTTACAGCTTTATGACCCCGGGCCCAGTCACTTAACCTACTCCTTGAAATAACGGAATTAGAGTTGGTGGCCTCTAAAAGCCCTGTCAGCTCTATGTCCGTGATCTTCTCGGTGACCCTGGCCGACTCACTTCACTTTGCTGAGCCCTGTGTTTCCTCACCTGAAAATGGGGTTAATAATAGTGCTTATTTCCCAGGGCTGTCGTGGGGTCAAATGAGATGATGTATGTCAAATGTTTCACATCCATGTGTGTACAGCATCGTATAAATGTGAGCTACTGTTAACATTCCTGACAGAGAGCTCTCTAGCTTCTGCTCCAGTTCCCTCCGGTTGGGGGGAACTCATTAACTCCTGAGGCAAAGAATTTCATTGTTAGGGAGGTAGGTTTTTTGTTTGTTTGTTTTGTTTTGTTTTCCTTTAAATCAAGCCCGTGAAGGATGCAGCCTTGGGCAGAAACCTGCCTCCCTCTCACTTTCCTCCATTCACCCATTACTTCTGGCTTTGCCCTCTGGGGCCAAAGAAAGGAGCCCCACCCCTCTTTCACACTCCAGCTCTTCCCTAAGGGGAAACATCTCACTGCCCTTAATTCTCTTCCACTCTAAGTTAAATCCTCCTAATTCCTCAAACTGATCCTCATATGATAATGGGCAGCTTTCTTTGTGGGATGTGCTACAGCTCCTCAACGTCCTTCCTCAAACGTGGTCCCCCGGACCTCAGACTCCAGAAGGGGTATGTGACATTTGCGTACATAACTGCTAGTGTTCTTCCTCCCGGACTGCCTTGCACTTAACTACTTTGTTTTTATTTGTATTTATTCACTTTACATTTATTCTGCATATAATTAAATATACCTGTCATCTCCTCCAATAGAACATACACTCCTTGGGAAGGAGGGTTATTTCATTCTTCATATTTGTACCTCTGGTGCCTAGCACAGTGCCTGACACATAGTAGCAGCTTAATAAATGCTTGTAGATTGATCTGCCCCTTCATGTATGTAACAAACTGTGTTCCTGTGTTGCTGACCGAAGGAGCAGCCCCTCATAACACTGCCAAAGACAATGCAAAGAAAAGGAATACGCGGCTATTTGTTGTCTCAGCTGCTAACTCCTGTACAAAGCAGGGAACCCTAGAGAAATACTGTAAGCAGTCCTTTATTGGGGGGAAAACCACAAGGGAATTTTCTTCATTTCTGGGTTAGCATTATACAGTTCTCCCTCCCCTGCCAAAGTGACCTAAAATCTATATATGACAATCAGCTTCTTCTTTTTTTTTATGATTTACTGAAAATCAAAGACAAAATAGGCCTTTTTTTTGTTGTTGTTTTTGTTATGACAGGTTTAGAAATTTGTTGTACTACATTGATTCAATTTTCCTTGATTTCAGCCATCTTTCAATAAAAAAACCTGATTCTGCTAGCTGAGAATACAAGAAGAAAACCCAAAGGGAACAGAGAATATTGAAATGGTTCCACCATTTCCATCTTTGAGACAAATATTCCTTTCAGAGGAGAAGCTGCCTCTAAGCACGTGACTGCTTAACAACCTTCTATACATAAAAAAAGGGAGGAAAAAAGAGAAGACAGCATAGAATCTAATGCTGTCTCATAGAAGCAGTGAAAACATCTACAATCTCAGGTCTAGTTTCGTTCAGTTGCTCCAACTCTCTCTTCTCAGAGTCATAGCATATACTGAAATGTTGGTCATTTTTTTCCATCTCTAGAAAAAAATTCCAACATATTACAAACCGGGCTGTCAAATGTGACCTAATTTTGTTGAGAACAGCTGAATAAGCTTTACCCCTTATTCTAAATCATTAAGAGGTATGGTCATTTCCCAAAACGCCCCTTTCTGCCAAAGAATAACAACAACACTATTGTTTACAAAGCTTTAAGGCTTAGAAAGAGCTCCTTACAACCACCTTGCTAAGTGGGTAGCCAAAATATTATTCCCATTTTAGAGGGAAGAAAACTGAGGTGAAGAAATTTGATCATAGCCAGACAGAAAATATAAAAAGGTAGGATTTGAACACAGGTCTTCTGATTCTACACTATACCATATTAGGCCTCAAAGAAATAGCATGAGTTTACACGGGGCTTTCAGTGAACTTAAACAAAAATACTGTCCTCAGAATGATGCCCTATGGTTTGTAGTGCAAATGTTACATGTTCTTATTCCCATTTTACAGTTGAGAAAATTGAGGCTCAGCAAGATAAGTGGTAAGTGATCGATATATCAGATATGTGCGTGTGTGTGTGTATAAAATTTTATTGTTTAAATTCACAAAAAGCTCCCAAAACTTAAAACTGCAGTAAGATTTCTGGGACACTCTTCATGTGTACTGTCTACCTCACAGGATTATCATGAGGAACAAACTGGACGACATATGCAAAATATTTTAAAACCACAAATCGCTACAGACATGTGAGATCTTCCTATTGTTACTGACGATGGCTTTTTTTTTTTTTTGATCAGCTGCATTCTTGGACTAGTGACCACTCTAGAGTGCCTTAAAATCGATGAAGTACTTTTCTTGGGACAGTCCTATGAGGAACAGTACAAACATCATCACCTCCCCTTTTACAAGTGGCTCAGAGAAAAGTGCTGGCTTGACTGTGTCCCCACATCCAGTGGGGAGCACAGCCAGGGATGTGGAATCCAGAGCTGCCCAGCACTCATTCCACCCCACTGTGGCTGACCCTTCTATATGATCTAAGCAACTGGGTGCAGGGCCCACAGGACCCAACACTCTTCTACTTCCTAGGACAGAACCCTCAGTGAAGGTGAAGGATCCAAGGGGAAGCTCAGGAGATTGCCAGACGCCTGAGCCATCGCTGGAGAGGGGGTGGGGAGGTAGGTCACTCACCTCTTTTTCGATTTCTGCCAGAGATTTGATGGTGATCCCCAAGAGATCAATGGGCTGCATCTGAAACACAAAAGACAATCTACTTTCTTAAACAGCTGGGAAATGCCACTTTAACATCTGGCTTTGCATTTCAAACATGGGACAATTAGCTAAGAAAAGCAGCTAGGATTGCTTTGTCTTCACTATAGCACTGCATATTGGTGGAAGTGTCCAAGCTGATGACGGAATCTGTCCACCCATTCATTAGCAAGGTAGTAAATACAGAAATGATACAGAAAGATGCTTCCAGAGAATACAGCACGTTAATGGGATCCATGTCTCCAGGCCACTGCTCTCTGGTGTGGCTGGTCTGTCTGTCTCTCCAGAGGAAGGGTCCACCAAAACCTATGAAAAAGCATGATTTTGCAAAGATCTGTCTTGGTCTCTTATTTCTTCCCTGGAAAGCAATACCAAAGCTATAAAGCTGGTAAGGCTTCCTGTTTCTTTCCACTTCCATGGGGATAAATGTGCCCTGAGCACTCTGGCCAGGTGGTGGCACTGGTGTCTAAGGAATTCTGGGCAAGAAGGCCAGTGCTTCGTTGGTATTCATAGGGGAGCTGGGGGAATTCCAGCTCTTTGAAAATGCATGGTGAATAAAATAACTGCACATAAATTATCATTTTCAGAAATCAATGGTGGTGAAAAATGATAACATCACATTTTAATGGGCGTTTCTGTAATTTCATGAAGATGGAGGCCCTTCTTGTGAAATGCTGGCTCCTTGACAGCAAATATACACTTTGATGTAAGCTAGAAGCAGACCCTGGGTGGAACGGGCAGCCTTGAGAAGTCTGTGAGGATGACAAGATTTGGAGCTGGCAGACCCTTAGAACACAGAACATTAGAACTGGCAGGAAGCATAAAGGTCATCAGGTCTAGCCCTCCAACTTCACAGATGAAGATACTGTAGGTCAGAAGAATTAAATGATTTGTTCATCAGCACCCTGGTAGTAAGTTAGAAGAGTTAGAATTAAACTAGGCAAGGCCTGATTTGGAATCTAGCTCCCCTATGGCCCAGAGCTATTAGAGAAACCAGTTCCCCGAGTTCATCAGTTTGGGGACTTCAGTGACCCTAATTTCTGAAGCAAAAAACTGGGATATGGTATAGAACCACAGAATTTCAAAGGCTCTCAGAGATGATCTAGTTCAGTCCACTCATTTTACAGAAGAAGAAAGTAAGGGTAAGAGAAAAGTGCCTTGTCCTAGCTCAAGGGGACAGTAAATTAAAACCCAGGGCCTCTGATTTCAAATCTTATATTCTCTCCACAATAACACAATGCTTCAAATCCCCTCCCTTCCACCAGACCCCCATTTTATAGATAAGGAATCTGAGGAGAAGAAGCAACTTCCCCAAAGTCACACAGCAGCTAGTAGAGTTGGGGCTTGAACCTAGGGTCTGGAGGGGTGTTATTCACATAACCCTACATTGTCTGGCAGCAGATATTTCCTTTCTACTCACTGCACTTTTTTTTTTAACACTATAGCGTCACCCAGAATCCTCTGCCCCCAGTTTTGTTATCACAGGGCTTCTTGTTCCCAGCCTGTTTGGAGCACACTCTATTCAACGTGAAAACTCTTTGAAAAAACCTATCGGGTACGGTTGGCAAGCCTATGGCCAACATGGTTGACTTTCCCTTTGCTGGCAGACAAAGTAGAGCAGGCCAGACCTGAATATCCATAAACGTAAAATATTCCTACCATCACCAACTGGTCCACAAAGCACTCTCATTAAACAACTCTGTGGGATGGGTAATGCAAGTATTACTATCCCTATTTTACAGATGGGGAAACTGAGTCTTGGAGAAGTGAAATAACTTGTCTACTATCACAAAGCAGCTAGGTGTCAGCACCATGATTTAAGTCCAGGTCTCTCCTGACTTTTCTACTTGTTCTTTCTACTATGTAGTACATTTCTCTTTTTCTTTTTTTACACTATAGTGTTGCCCAGAATCCTCTGCCCCCCGTTTTATAAACATAGGGCTTCTTGTTCCCAGTTTGTCAAGTCTTGCCAGCAACAAATTTACCCAGGGCAGCCATGGGGACATCCAGCCACAGAATTAAACATAAACCTCCCGGGGATGCTGTTACCGCTTCTCTCCAAACAGTCTGCCACATTTGCACCAGCAGCCAGAGGGGCACAGGAACAGGGAAAACATTTCCCTCTCTCCATTTCCGTTGCCTGGAATCCAGCAGAGGTCCAGCTGTTGTATCATTAGGCTCTAACTACCTCACTAAACTTTCTAGATTGGAATGGGTAAACAGGACAGAACAGCCTCCCCAAGGAAACAGGAGAGACGCCAGGGTAGCCATAGCAACAGAGCCAGGAGAAGTCAGCTAAAGTTACTCATGCTCCACATGCAACATCACAAGCATTTTTCAAGATTAAGCTGCTAGCAGAAAGATGTCGGGGCTGCATATTATATTTCATTAGAATGGAAATTGCAGAGTGGGCCAAATCACAAGGCGCCTGGTTTTAAGCCGGGCCCAAGGACAACATTTAGTTGTTCTTTTGCTAATATCTAAAGCAGAGTCTTCATTTTTTGTAATAGCTCAAATCTTTGGGGGTGGGGGATAGGGTAGGAGGGATCATGATTTGGGACTAGACTGTAAACTGCCTTACAGATCTAACACTCTTTGTTCTACGGCTTATTAAATTCTATCATTCTATGGTATAACATCCCATTAGCTCTAACATTCTATGTTACAATATGAAGATCCCTCTCGGCTCTGTCCAATCTACTAGGCTTTAATATTCCATATGCTAAGGTCCTTCTCTACGTTCACGTCTTATGTTCTAACAGCCTAAGCTGTAAGGTTCCTTGTGATTTGTGTGAAGTTTCCAACAGCACACTAATGATACAAATCACCACAAAGGGACAACCACAGACCTTTCACTTATAACAGTGATTGATCAGTAGCCTCCTCAACCCAACACTTTTTTTGACAGTATAATACTGTCAGTCTTTCCAGGGTCAATGCTTCTACGACTGGTTTGAAGCAACATTAATGCTGAGAGAGGGATATAGCTGAGAAGTACGGCATTCTGTGCTTTGTCTGTTCTTAGGTAACAAAATGAGCTGGGAACGCAAAGACAGCTCACTATACTTCCTTAGGCTTCTGCTCTGTTATCTGCAAATATGGGGTTAAGCTTATTTGCTCCGCGGCAGGAGACTCATTGGTTATATGGTACTGTTCTCATATAGACAAATCTCTTGTTTGGGAGTTAAGATACTTGGGTTCTAGAATCATAGAATGTTAGGGCAGGATTCTCATTTCATATATAGGGAGACTGAAGCTAAAAGAAATGACTTATAAAGTCCCCATATGTGAGGTGAGAAAATGGACGAAATGGTTTTTGAATTCCCTTCCTTTTCTAATAGAACCAGTATGTCTGATTCCAGACCCAATGATCTACTACCACATTATGCCACATGGTCTCTTCTGCTTTCAACTCTGCCACTAACTTCCTGTGTGACCTTGAGCAAGTCACGTCAGTCCTCTGAGCCTCGGCTTCCTTGTTAATAAAATGAAGAATTTAGCTTAGGTGACGGCTCAAGTTTCTTCCTCCTCTGAAGCCTTCTGTCATTTCCACAGATTTTAACTTCCATAATGTGAAAACTAATTATACTTCTTTCTTCAATAAATTGCCATGATTAAATAAAAAAAGAACAAAAATTATTAAGCTGCATTTGGAAAATGAAAAGTATTCACAGCGATGAGGTTGGATCAAAATTGCCATTTGCACTTACAGTGAGAATGACTCACTAGAGCATCCATCTTCTCTAATAAGAACCATGCACGTAACTTACACTTTCTGGGACACAAGAAAACTTCTCTGAAATCATAAAAGGCACTCCATCCATAGCTGAAAAAGGAAGAAAAAGCAGACATTAAAGTCATCCTCAGCATCAAGGAAAGTCAGAGCTGAAGGGGACCTCAGAGACCCCCTGCTTCTACCCATAGCTCAGAATACCCCTGACAAATCATAGCCATCCTCCATTTGAAGACCTCCACCTCCCGAGAAGGCCCACGCTACTACCGGACAGCACTTATAGGAAGCCTTCCCCTCATGTCAACCTGACATCCGTCTCCTTGTGACTCTCTCCCCTTGCTCCCAGTTCTGCCCTCTGAGGCCTAAGCAGAACAAATCAAATCCCTCTCTCACATGACAGCCCTTCAAATCCCAGGACACAATGATCCTTCTGCCCATAAGTCTTCTCTCTCTCTCTTTTTTCTTCAGGCTACACAACAACTCCAGATCTTTCAGTGGATCATATTACGGCATGATTTCAAGGCCCCTCAACCTCCTGTGGTCCCTCCTCAGGACATGGCCTGAGCTTTGTCAGCATCCTTCCTAAGACATGTTGCTCAGAACTGACTATGACCCTCAAGATGTGTTCTGACTAGGGAAAAACCATTACCTTCTGCACTTTGGACACTATGATTCTTTGGATGTTCTTCTGACTTACTGAATTTGAAGTGTTAAGACAAAACTGTCTGAAGACTTGTCCAAGTTGATCGGAGATGTTTCATTTGTAATCTCTCAGTGTAAGATTAATAAGGGCCAATGTCCACTGGATGGTATGAATGAATACCCCGGGATGGTACAAATATTGTACTCAAAATTACAAAGGCCTAAGCTTGAGCTAGGGGGCACTTTAAAGAACATCTAAAGTCCAATCCTAATATTGGTACGGGTAAATAAATTAAGGCCCTAATAGCTCCATGTTTCTTTACACATTAGGCTATGAGGAATCCAACACAAGATGTGTTTGATATTTGAGAGTCTGAATGCACCTTTCTGACACTAAGGTACTGTGATCTCCAAAACGGTAGGGACTGGGTCTTACATAAACTTTGTATTGTACCCAGTGCCCCACTTAATAAATGCTTTCTGAATGAAGGCTAGATAGATTTGGTATGGCGGAAAAACAACTAGAGTAGGAGTTGGACCTGGATTTGAATCCTGCCTTAATATTTATCATGGAAAAATTGCAACTCCTCTGACCTCAGTTTCCTAATCTAGGAGATATGGATAATAATACCTGCCTACCTCACAAGCTTGTTGTGAAGACATATGAGAAAAAATATTCAGTCATTTACCCATCTACCATTTCTTAAGCACCTACTAGAGCCAGACACTGTGCTAGGTGCTAGGGATACCTAGACAAAAAATAAGCAATTCCCACCATTGAGAAGCCTACATTCTATTGGGTAGAGGAAAAGCACTTTGCAAACTTTAAGGCATTATATAAACATCAGTTATTATTACTGTTATGTAAAAGTGCTTTTAAAACCTTAAAGGGCTACATAAATGTCAGTTATTACACTTACTACTTATTAGCTGCGTGGCTTTGTATAAGTCACTTTCCTTCTTTGCACCTATAAAATGAAGGAATTGGAACAGATGACCTCCAATGACCCTCCTTGATTTTTAATTGTATGAAGCCCTATGAGTATTTCTGCAAGTTTGAGAGGAAGTAAGTGCACAAAATTGATGTCTCCAATGGATTAATAAAAACAGAAGAGAACCCTGAAAAAAAATCATGCTGTAATGAATTATAGGCCAAACCATGTAGTAGGGTGAAATATGCCCTGTTTTAGATCTAAAAGGCTCACCAACTGGAGAGATATTTCCTCTGCCATAATCCCTAAAGCCTACTTCCCTGTTCACCATCAACATATCACTAACTTTAAAAACAGCTTGATGGAGAAATTGGAGCCCAACAGGGGACTGTACCAGGTAAATGACCTCTGATCCATGACCACCTTACTTCCCAGGGTAATTTTATTCATTGGGGATTAGAAATGAGGATTACAGCATCAAATTTACTTCAATAATCTATTACTTCCTCCATGCAGATACTCTGTACTGATTCCAGTCTCAGTATCCTTCATACTTTAAACAGATAGTCTTCAAGAGTTCCTATAGTTGAAAAAATTAATCATCTAGTACCTAGTCCTTAATGGTTCTGCCAGTCTCAAGGGCAGAACCATTCACAACAACAACTGACATTTATATATTATTTTGATGTTTGTGAGAGAGGAAACATGGCATAGTAGATAGAGAGCTGGCCTCAAAGCCAAGAAGACCTGGGTTCAAGTCCTGCTTCTGATACCTACTGCCTGTGTGACCCTGGGCAAGTCACTTAACCTCTTAGTGCTATAGGTGATAAAGTGAAAACAGCACTGTACCTGAGGTCAAGAAGAACTGAGGTGAAATAAAGCCCCAGACACTGCATGACCCCAGGCAAGTCATTTAATCTCTGCCTGCCATAGTTTCCTCAATTGTAAAAAGAAGATAGTAACAGCACCTACCTCCCAGAGGAGTTTAGGAAAAAATGAGATATTTGTAAAGCCCTTAAACCCTTCTTCCCTTTTCTCTAAGACTGTAAAGGGCAGAGAAGGAGCCAATTTGCATTGGTAGAGGCAGACTCCTCACCTGGGAGCTTCTTATGCCAATGGAATCACAGGTGCTGTCCATATCTCTATCCTCTTTTAAATTTACAAAATGTTATTACATACATTAACTTATCTGATCTTCACAAAAGTCCTGGCAGGTAACTGCAGTTATTAAGCATTTACTATGTGTCAGACACTATGCTAAGCCCTGAAGATATACAAAGAAAGGCAAAAATACTTCCTGTCCCCAAGGAGCTCACATTTTAATGGAGGCAATGAAGATGTAAATAATTAGATACATATACAGAGTAGATGGAAGGTAATCACAATAGGGTGGTCAAGAAAGGACTCCTGAAGAAAGCAGGGTTTGAGCTGAGTTTTGAAGGAAGACCAGGAAACTAAAGTGAGGAGGGAGAGAATTCCAGGTATGTGAGATAGCCAATGCAAAGGCATGGAGTTGGGAGAAAGTATCCTTGGGGATAAAATCACAGATCTTGAATTACTGAAGTAACCATTTCTCTTAGATCATAAGCTTTTAGATGTAAAATGGTATGTTACTCATTCTTGTAGGCATTAAATAAATGTTTGTTGAACTGAATGGAATGAGATATTTGACAAATCATGAACTCTCCACCATGGAAAGTAGAGAACAGGTGGCCAGCCATCTGTTAGGCAGGGTAGAGAGGAGATTCCTACATTTGGCCAGGCTGAATTGAGTATCTCCTAAGGCCTTTTCCAACTCTTAAGACTATATGAATTTTATGCATTTCAGGTGATGTTAGACCAGCAGAGAGAGAGTACTGCACATGCACTCAGAAGTTCCAAGTTGGGAGTCTAACAAAGAACAAAGTCTAACACAATATTCTCCCAAAGGAGCTTTGTGAAGGAGATAATTCAATTAGATTCAAACATATTAAGTTCCTTTTATGTAATCAAAGCAGTCCTTACTCTCAAAGAACATACAACCCAATAGGTCTAATACACAAATAATTACAATATACAAGTGGGATACAAGTGCCCTACAATAAAATGCAATGGGAGATCAAAGGTTAGAGAGATCACATTCAGCTGTGCAAACAGGGATGGCGATCTGAGCAAGTATCATGGAGGTGGGCGCATCTTTGAACCTGGGGAGGACTAGGATGGTTAGCAATGTAATGAAATGATCTGTCCTTTATTTTGAACAGAAACTAGAATCACTCTATAATAAAGTATCAGAAATATTAAGAAACTGTGACATACTTGAAGACCACTAGCATATCCTCTATTATTCTTTTCTTATCCAGGATAACTCTTCAATCAACCCTTGTATGGCATGCAAAGATTTTCCCACCATCCTCCTTTGGATTGTGCCAGGTTGTTGACTCATCTTCTTAACATGTGGTATCTAGAATTGAATCTCATCTTCCAGATTTGTTTGGACTTGGATGGTATCATAGCAGGGCTATCCCAGCCCTGCTCAGGACAACATGCCTCCACAAATGTAGCCTAACACAGTGGTTCTCAACATGCAACCCAGGAACCCCTAGCAGTCCCCAGGACTCTTGCAGGGTGTCTGTGAGGTCAAAACCATTTCCATAATAATACTGAGATGTTTTAACTGTGAATACAATAAATACACTAGATATAACCCATATAAACAAAAACTCTTTGTGGTAGGAGAGTCCTCAATAATTTTAGGAGTGTAAAGGGGTGCTGAGACCAACACATTTGAGAACCGCCAGCCTCAGATCATTCCAGCTTTTCACCAGGCTGTCATACTGTTAACTCATATTGAGGTCTCAGTTCGTTGAATCCACTCGGATCCCTTTCAGACAAGTTGTGTTTAGGCACAGCACTCCTTTCTGGAACTTAAATATAAGATTTTACGTCTGTTCCTATTGAATTTCATCTTACTAGATTTGGCCCAATGTTTTCCTACTGAGCTCTTTTTGAAGACTGACTCCATCTTCCAGTATGTGAATGTCACCCTTTCCAGCTTTCTCTCGCTGGAAAAGTTGATAAGCATGCCATCTATTCCTTTTATCAAAAGCTTTGATAAAATGCTAAAGAGCACAAATCAAGGTGATCAGCTGGGAGCTCCCTCATCCCCCTGTTCCATATCTCAAGACCCATCTGCATCATTGTCCACTGTCTCCTTTTTTAATCCACTTGCTGCATAAGACATAGCTCTTCCCATTGCAAAGACCAACCCTTGATTTGTGCCTTTGACTTAACATGTTTCTTTTTACTCTGGGATTCTGCCTTTTCAATCATACTTTTTTTCTCTCTCTCTGCTCTTCAAGAGCTGTTTTATTAGAACTTCCTGCTGGCTACAAATGTTCCTTCTCATCCTGTAATTCTCTTCCATACCCTTCTGTAAATCTTCCACAAAGGATCCACCCAAGAAATATCATTCTTCCTATTTTACAGATGAGGAAATTCAGGTTTACAGAGAGAATGGGACCTGCTCAAGGCCACAAC